TCCCCCTCTCACGTTCAAAGAATTAGAAGGACCCGCTTTCATCTTAATGAGATGGAGTTATAAATGCAAGTATTTTGCCACAGTGAAGCACTGGAAGGGTCACAGGAGCATGAAACAAATGAAGCAATTGTATAATTATGCGAGGATTGAGACTTGAACCCCTGAACCTGAGGTCAGCTTCAGATAGTCATTATTCTACATTAATCTTTGCCCCTCTCTGAAAAGAGAGAGCCAAGATTTGATTAGCTATTCAGAAAATATTGTTTAGCTTTCTAATCATAGCTTTAGTGAATTTCTGAATTTGTAATGGACACCCTGGCACAGCAGCACCTGCAGACCAAAAGTCCAGGGTCTCCATATTTTTATTCTCAGCACGTGTTTTAAAACTCACATTAATTCTCATAAATGCTGCAAACTATTTTTCTATGATGCGCCTCCATTTCACCAGTCAAGTGAAACTGGGAACCACACAGTTACAAGTACAAACATCCATAAAAGCCTAACGTAGAAATACTGGCAGTTGCTGGGCGGGTATTACAGAGTAATGCTGGTTAAAACTACTCCATTTATGACATAACTGGCATTAAATTACAGTATTTAATAACTTCCACTCACTATCAGTACTCTATTTTACAAGCAATGCAGTATCTAAATATTTCATTTCCAATGTGTCTTAACTTAAATGTGCAGTAAGTGTAACTCTGTGGTTCTGTCTGTGAACGTGTATATTTTTATTTCCATTTCTTTATGTGGGTAAAAATCCGACTGCTGCTCCCACACAGGTGACATAGATCTTGCTGTGGGTCCCTTCTCTCAGCTCACTGTGGACTTGTTACTCTGATAGTGAGACTAAGGAAGGCGATGCCATGTTGCTTAAAAAGCTGAGAGAAGTGGTTAGAGAAGGAAGAAAACTATGATGACCTTTAAACCTCAGCTCAGGGTCAGATGCTTTTCCTTGCAGGTTCACAGGTTAGAGCCTAATCACATCATCAGTGCTGTGAGAGCTCAGTGGGATGTGACAACAGTGTAGGAGAAAATGTTCTTCGCAATCATTATCTTCACTCCCCCCTCCCGGAAAAAAACATCTTTTTGTGACCCAGGAGGATTTCAGTGTTTGTTAGTCTTGCCTTGTGTGCGTTAAAGCAAGAGAAAGATGTTTTTGTTGTACAGTACACTCTAATATGCTCCTTCTGTCCATACCCTCGAGCTCTATCTGCAGCAGGTTCGTGTCTTGGCAACCACATACAATTACAGTAGCAGGGGGTCTGTGAAGCAGTGAGACCTGAACTGTGGGAGCTGAGATTTTATAACAGGAAGACTTTGCTGTTCTTGGTTGTCATCAGGTTGGACTTTGCTGTCCATGCAACCACGTGTAGTAGTCAGTCCTCACTGGCTATTTTTTTGTAGGACAATCTTTGCCAATATGGATGTACTCTGTTTGGAAAACCACCCCCTTCCTGCTTATATTGACACCAGCCGTGCTTGTGAGAAGATGCTATTGATTTAAGAGTGTGTCAAAGTATCCATGTTAATCTACTGTGTTTACTAAAAAAAAGATTTTATTCAATTCACAAAGTATGTGAAAAAAAGAGAAAACTTCAGCACTTACTGTCCCTTCCCTCAGGTAGTCCCCCCCAGGATGTATCTCTAATGTACCATGACAACCTGTTATGCTCGACTCTACACGCCTGCAGCCAAACAGAAGGGTTCATTCCCCACCAGTGATCAGCAGCGAGCGGGCATCTGGGTGCGTCTCCCGCTGAATGAGTGTACCGCTACAGCGGCGACACGACAATACACACGTATGCATAATTAGGCGTCAGCATGCATGTGTTTATTAAATGGGTGCATATGTAAGTGTGTACTCGGGTGCTGCGGCTGAGGGCTTACTCGTCTCATACACGGGGATAAAGGCAGCGGTGCAGTGATGAGCTCCTAATCTGAGTGCATGTGATTGGTCCGGTGAGGCTGGAGAGATATGAGCGTTTGACTTGTTAAAAGGGATGTTCTTCACTTGGAGCTTCGTTGGCCCTGACATAACTGGGACATAATTCTCCTTGTCAAAACTAATAATCAATTCCCACTATGAGGATAATCTGACAGTAGACCCCCAGTGAGCGTGACGCAAGCTGTCCTCACTTCCCCATATATTATTAACAGCCACAACAGTTACCAGTAGCAACTGAGATAACCCCATGTAGCCCCTCTCCACGAGTCAGTAAACACTTGACAATGGGACTGATCTTCACTGTGGGCTTTGATGCTGGAGTTTGACGCTAATGACCAATAATACAGAGCGCCAGAGAGACTGCCTGTTTCTGCAAATTTGGCTAAAAATAAGGAAGTGTTTATTCCTCCGGGCTTTGTATGTGTGTCCAGACTAAATGACCTCTAAAGGTTTTGACTTATTATATCAGAACACTAGCCCTTCTTTTTATATGTTATTATATATATATATTTTTTTTGTGGATATATAACCTGTGTATGGTACAGTGACAGCAGGTGTCCCCCAGGGGGTGGCAAGATGAGCAACATCGTTCCTCAACTGGATGGAACATTAATAACATGAGGACCTGGGGAGAAAGCTCCATCTGGGCCAGGCTGGTGCAATGCTGAAGGGACAGGCCTCTGACTCCACAAGTCTATAATCCCTCACATAGTGCACTGGAAGCCCGCTGGGGCAAGTTGACAAACATGCAACTTTTCCAGATAATCGACACCCTTGAACGAAGTGACCTCCTCCTTCCAGTGTCACACTTGAAAAAGAAATAAAAAGCTCAATTTAATGGTGTTTGTTTGTCAGAACCTGACACTTTTGACTGCAAATGAGCTCTCATGAATAATCACATAATTATTTTGCGTGCCCTTCAGCCTTTATCCCCTGGTAGGTGTTAAATAAATAACACTGAGCCGGATTCACTTTCAAGCAGGTGAAAATTATCCAAGTAGGGAGGCGAGGCAAGAGAAAGGAAGTAAAATTATTAAAAGGTCAGGTCACTACCACTCAAAAGGGGCAGCGATGCTCAGTATTGTAGCAGTGCAGCTCAGTGACTTGTCATTTCCATTTTTTAATCACCACCTCCTCTGTAAGTGCTTGTTAATCAATACACTAACAACAAGGATTCTCTCACTGTGGGAGCTTGAAGCACAGAGGCATGAAGTGTTTACACCAGCCTCTCTTCTTCACCCCTGTGTCTCAGTCTGTACTTTTTAAAAAAAACAAAAATTATATCTTTGTCCAGCTTTGGTGGAAAACTTCTTTGGATTTCCTCATCTTGGTATAAAAAAAAGAAACAACTACTACAAAAAACCTCCCCCAAAAACCTGAAGTTGTGTTCACATTTTACACTGCAGTCAGCTAACATTTTTTATCTTAAGGTCTAGGGTGTAATTTGTAGTTGCCGATAACGAAAGGTCTCAGTCTGACATTAAGGTTTTCAGGTATTTTACGCTGCAGGCCTTGGGTAAGAAAAAAAGGGAAAGAATTTGCATTAATATAAAATGATTGCCTTGTCTGCTAGATGCTGCAGAGGAGTGGCTCCATTTCATATCCAAAGATCTTTCTGAGTTTCAGCTGTGGCTGACTAATCTTGTGAGGCCCACTGTCCATGCCTGTCTGGCCCCCCTTTGTAATTTAATGAAGATATTTTGGTGTCACTTCTTTGAGGGAGGGCAGACACATGACTTTGATCGTAAATGAAGGTGAAGGTGAAAAGATCGAAACTGAGGAGCCACAAATGAGCTGCGTTGAATTAAGGGGCATCACAGTTCTGTCTCAGCAGACTTGTGATTTCCTGTCAGCTTTTTCCCCCTTTTTCTCTCCATGGAGCTGCCGATTCCTGATTGTTTTTCTCGACTGAGGTAATTCAAGTGCACTAGCCTGGAGCTTCCCTGACTTCTGTTTATTAGTCATTCATTTCTGAGATGCCTTGGGCAATGCGATCTGCAAATTTCTCTCCATTTAGGAGTTCTGCAGGCCAACTGGATCATCGTCCAGCTCCCGTGATGCCCAGCAGCACTGCACTACTGGGTTCTTAATAGTTAAACATAGTTTTGCCATTTGAGAGTGGAGCAATTGTGTTTGAATATACTGTATGCCTTCATCTGAAGTGCTTATTAAAACCTGCGTCAGACTTGAGATGGTAAATCTCACATTTGAAACGACTTTTGCATGTATAAGTAAAGTTCAGTAACAGAAGTTTTCTTAAGTAATAATAGCAACTTCTCACAATTAAAAAAAATATGTAGAAACTGTATATTTATCCTTTTACTTCAGTAAAAATGCAGAACTTTAATCAGTCAGTCATCCACCTCCTCTTATGTGGTCTAGCATAACGTAATGGATTTATATCTAAAGTTGAATGTTTATATGAAATTTGTAACTTTTAATGTGATATAATTCTGCAAACTAAATTTGTTAATCTCCTAATTTGGCTGATACTGACTGTGGCATTTTTACTTTTTGAACAAAAAATCTTCACCAGAGAATAATGTGAGTACCACAAATATGTTGCTGCAAAATGAAGCAGATCCTGTCAGCTAGGCGAGGCAGGTGACCTGAGCTGCACTATGTCATGCACATTAACCTCACTCTTTTCATCCCAAATCCCCTAAATTGGCAGTCTAATCAAGCCCCAGAATTTTCCTGTCTCTCCCTCTGACGCGTCAGTGCTGCACCTGCCCTGCATTGCATCCTGCTCTTTCAACCCCTGCACTACCCCAGCATCCACCTGTTGGCTAAGGGGTTTGTTTACTCTTCACTCTCTATTTGCATCATATTTGTTATCTTCCCCTGTAAGAAAGCAGTCGTTTCAAACGTGAGCTGTCTGACTGAAATGCCACACATGTAGGACACATGCTCTCTGTACTGTCTCTGGATGTCATTTATACTGGGAGAGCGCAGGTAGTGGTATATCTGCTAGAACAGGTATCAGACGGACACGGACTGTCTCTCAGAGGAGCATTTATAGATAAGTTTAAAACACGTTAGAAGTTCTCACCATCCACACAGGAGGGTTTGTTGCGTGTCGTTCCGGCCACTTTCCCCGGTAAACAGGAGCACTTGACTGTCTGAGAGCGCTCCTCGATACGATTCTTGTTACAGCATCGGTGGGCAGCAATCACCTCGCACGTACCACCCTCTGGAGAGAGATTGAAAAGACACCCTGTCAGTAAATGTGAGATGTTAATAAGAAACGTTTAACAGTAAACTATCCGAAGCAACCATGTAATAAGTGTCCTTAACTCACTGCAGTTTGAACTTAAAATCACAAACGAGAAACAACAATGCAGATAAAAGATGGACATCCTGTGTCAGGAGCTGCAATACAATCACTGGGTACTTCTACCATAAGTATATGAAGCAAATTAGCCCTCAAGGCATCTCAATAACGCCATCTAATTGCCTCTTACTTGGTGCTGACTGTTCTCACTTCATACCAATCAGCACATGATTGACTCTGATGCCAATACAATAATAGGCAATAGTACACTAAAGCGTTAACTCCAAAGTATAGGTGACATCAGTCGTGACAACTGCTGAACAATAGGTCCCAGTCTGACAAAGGGGTATGTCTGTGGAAAGTGAAGGTGCTAAGCACATATAGCAATAGTAGGTCAAAATAACAATAGGGAGGCTGAGGGGGTGATGGAGCTGAGGGACATCCTAAAATGAGTGAGACAGACAGAAAGAGAAAGCTAGAGGACAAGGTGTGTCTGGATACCAGGGATTTGGCATACCGGTGAGTAATGAGAGAGCCACTGGAAGTGCCCCCTTCACACAATTATAAAGCGTGGGGCTAATGCAGCCAGCGGAGCTGCAGGAGAGAGGCCCTCTATCACTGCTCTCCCTTTTCCTTACGCCCCAGGAAAAACTCTTTATCTTCTTTTGACAGGCACCACAACAGACACCAGCGTCCAGCAATTAAACTGGAGCTCATCCCAGGACAAGGGGAGAGGAGAGGAGAGTTTAACTTATTCTCTCCAATATCCAGAATAGAACAGATAGATTGCAGAGAGAGAGGGAGACAACCAAATGCCACGTTTAATCTTGTCTGTGCATTATTTTTGTGGCGATATGGCTTTTTAAAGAGGACATCCTGCTGTGCTCAGACGATGCACTTGCTTCTGCTGGCATGACAATCACCGGTGTGTGCGTGTCTCTGGCTGGGCTGGTTGTGCAAATGTTTGAAATGGCTCGGGTCATGAATTACAGAACTGAGTTCCCAGCAGCCTAGACACGTTTGGCAACAGTTTTCTTCTCCCATTCCCATCAATGTCTGCCTCGGCCAGACCAAAGGCCGATGAGATCTGGATTAAAAGGCAAACATTTGCAATCCTGCTGGACCGCGCTGTCGTGCAGAATTAATGTCACTTTCTCCGTGCTTGTTGTCTTGATATTTCTAGGCAGGAGGAAGCAGAACACAGACTATAAAAGTGAGGAGAACAATCCCTCGAGTCTGCTAAAACCCCAATCCTCACAATGTGTTGCCTTGTTGAATATTTTAGCGAGAGTTTCCTGACCTGCGGACTTACTTTTAAGTTAGAGCAGATCGCTAGATAAGAGAGGATTTAATGTTGCGTCATAGAATATTGAATTGGCCTGAATCCCCACACCAATAATACGATACATGATCTGCAGGTTAGCGCTACCAGACTTTCAATGGAAAACCTCTGACAAGGTACTACCAAAGTAAACCCTAACATATTCGCATCTCTTATTTGAATGTGATGAGAATGATCTTGATCTGTGTCGCTGGACTTAGTTGTTCAGTGGAAGTACAGTTAAAATTCATTGTTTCTCCACTTTGTGACTCTGTTAGGTAAGAATATGGACCACTTATCCCAAATGGTAATATGGTTTCATTTAATCATGGAAGGGTGTACATTCTAGGACTCTCAACCCCAGCCCAAAAAAACCAAACCAATACAAAACAAACAAATTGAGCACTTGAAGAGGGAAGAAAGTCTGAAATAAATAATAGCACAACATCAAGGAGAGCCATGAACCTGCAAGACCACAGGAACCACAAAGCAGGATTTGGGCTTAGTGAGGTAATGTTAGGATTAACTCTGGGTTTTCAGTATCATGTAGCTGGTTTACTTTACATCGCCATGGTAACTTGTGCTCTGCTCCCAACCTAAGGACTAAACAGTTCTTTAGAAAACAACGGCATCATCATTCCCGGAAGATCAATCCTAGCAAGAAGGTCTAAAGGATCTACAGTTTTTGTCTTCCCTGATGAGGATGAGTAATAAATACAGATTATTAGCAGGAACTCTATTCCCTGTGCATGTGTGCAAGTTTTTTTTCATGTTGGCTGCAAATACAATTTTATTGTTCCATAAGACTTAATGTATGATCCTAAAACAGAAGTATTTTTACTTTTCGTCTTTAATTTAAATTTGCACGTAGATCCTACCCTTGAATTCTGTTTTTATAGATTATTTAGTCTTTACTTTCTCTCAGGCTGTTTAACATCACTGCAGCTGAAAGAATAAGAACTAAATCTGTAGGCCTATTATGCAGAATGGAATAACAATATTAATCTGTAAAATTCAATCTGATAACCACCTTTTTGTGTCTGCTTATCCCAACTGCCAAGTGAAGCCAAATGAAAGACGTCCTGTTGATGTTGAACTTTTGTACAAGTTACAGTTCAGTTTAGGAAGTCAGCAGCAGCAGAGATTAAGTCGCATAATGAGATCATGAAGGCAGATTTTATACAAATGGAATGTATATATAGTTATAGAGTATTTAAAAGTAGAATGGGAGTGAGAGCCTTCAGTTTTCAGGCCCCTCTTCTGTGGAACCAGCTTCCCGTTTGGATTCGGGAGACAGACACTACTTTTAAGATTAGGCTTCAAACTTTCCTTTTTGCTAAAGCATATAGTTAGGGCTGGACCAGGTGACCCTGAATGCCCTGAAAAGCGCCTTGAGGCGACTGTTGTTGTGATTTGACGCTATACAAATAAAATTGAATTGAATTGAATATGGTTACTATTTAGCTGACTAAACAGACAGAGTGCCAATGAACCAACAATTCTGGTCATAGATTAAAAAAACAGCTGGACGTGAACTGTTGCAGAGTGCCAATCTAAATGCTATAAGCTGTCTTTGTAGACTTTAAACTGTCATACCCATGCAAGTCAGCTATAATCATACATACTTGGTTTTGAATGACCAATGAGGCAGTGCTGTATGATCATATTTTTACATTTTGTCTTTGAGATTGTTTAGAAAGGTCCAGCCCTGGACAGATGTTGGAAAGAATCATCTTGACAGCTGTTTCACCATGAGGGCAGGATGCATTAGAAACTTTTGCCCAATTAATTAGTTGATGAATTTTGAAGATATGTTAACTCAGATAAAAAATCTGAGCATTATCAATTGCTTGTAATAAAAATCCATAGTATAGTATATAACAGGCTTTTGGCTCTCACAGTTGTTTTGCACCTTCAGTAAAATAAATTAAAAAGTAATTGTTGTCTGGAAGGACAGTGCATTACTGTGATTTTTTTTTAATGCGGTATATAAAATATAGTATGACTGACAAAATTACCAGCAATCCCCCATCTCAACAGTAAGCATGATCACGATGAAGCATCTGGTATGTGGAGGAAAGAGCAGCTTCATTACTCTTCTGGGCCAGTCACTAGTGCCACTTAGACAACAAATGGCCATTTGGACAAGCCATATTGCCATTCAGGTAACTAAGAGCTCAGAGTGAGGTTAACGACCATCTATTATCTTCATATACATTTGGTGGTTTGTGTCTTGATGCATATATTGTGTGGTAATTCATAACAGATTTATTCTGCTCAGGTGCACAGTGGTAATCAGTGTGTGTTCTGGTGCAATGTGGGATCAGAACAGCTTAAGACTGTGGTTGTGATGGATGCAGTGCTTGGAGCCTGTCAGGCAACTAAAGGGGTTAAAACAAACTGCAAAGATGGAGTGGGTGGCAGTGCACTCTAGCCTTTGGTGAAGGAAGGTGAAGGGTATCGATGGGACCATTGACCGGTCATTTTTCTCTCGGCAGCCTACAGTGACAGCAGTCATTAAATGAGTGGATGAGGTGATTATGCTTAAGGAAATCAATGCTTCATTGTTTTCAGCTTAGCCCAATGGCCAATTAGGAGGTGTTAATGAAGGAAGGCTGTAAAAAGTAGAGATATATATGAGAAGTAGGAATGAGAGTGCAAGATAAGAAGGCATAGAGCATATCAAAGTTTTTTTCCTCTGGTTATCAAAGTTTATGTTTGTGGAAACCACTCTGAACTTAAGTATAAAATAACTTTTTACAGATATACAGTATAAATGCACCAAGTTAGTACATCAGATATTCTTTTCAGCGAGAAGTTATAGTTTAGAGATTGAATCCTACTGTGTATTCTGTGTTATAAGTCATGAGCAGCCTTAATGCTTCTAAAATAACTAGTGTCTTTAAGACTATATTGGAGTATGGTGTTGAGTGTTAATCAAGCCTAAACCTTTTCATTAGTCTGGTTTAACCTGAGTTTCTAATGCTTGTGTGATGTTACAGTGCCAGAAATAATCCACAAGTAAAAACCGGTCAAAACTGACTCCCTGTTTACTTTCTGCAGAAATGGACTGTGGGTTGCATCATCTGTCAAACAGCATAAAATTACTCCTGTCACAGATGAAGACCTCAAGCTTACTGCTGGAGAAAATAATTTTTAATATCCCATATAGCCTGTTATGAGATATTGTAATTATTTCCCTGATGGACAAATTAATAATTGGGGATTATAAGTTGTACTTTATTAGTTATATTTCATGTTCAATTTCAGAAGAGAAAAGACTTTAAGGATGGGTACTCTCTTCTAAAAACAGATGGTTTAGAGGGCGTATGGCTGTCTGATATAAGCCAAAAAATACATATAAATCAATCAGTCACATTTTGTTATCTTAGGCTGAATGGTAATAAATTATATAATGGTATAAATGTAGGCATTTTTCTACCAAGTAGAGTTTTTTTTGTCCATTTTGGTGGGAACTCCAAGCCATATGTAAGATGCTACAATCTTTAAGACAGGGAAACATTAAAAAAGGAAAAACAAACTTTTCTCTAGGTTTGTGGACCATTCAGGTGCCGAGTTTGCAGCAGTGAAACGGTGT